CAGGATGACACACTCATGCTGCCTGAAGCGCCCAACCGTCCGCAGCTAGAGTATATGTCTAGAGTATATGTCCGTGTGGTGTGCCTGTGTGCCAACAATGCCCTGATACAATCGGTCTGACATATACTCTGGTTCGGTTGAGCGTGTCAGGCAGTATGAGTATGTCACGCCGTCAAAGCCGTTCTCTGCCTTCTTGTTGAAGCGACAAAAAGTGGTAGAAAACGAGTAATACGAACGATATGATACAGTCATATCACTTGCTCGCTTTAACAACTGGTGGAGAACGGGTTTGGCACCGCGCCAAACTCATCCCGCCTGACACGCCCAACCGCCCGCAGGGGTGTGTGTCAGGACTCACCGCCGCGCCTCGAAACTAGGTCGCCGCGCTGGGAAGGGTCACCGCGCGCGGCGATTACATGCTTTGAAAGAATTACTTGTTTGAAGATGTACCTGTTTGGACATGTTCTTGGCAGATGGAAGATGAGGAAAAGAAAGAACGCTCCAAGCAAACTGCGATAGGGTCATATTGATCGGAAGTTGGCAAAATGCCAGGTCAGGACTCACCGCCGCGCCACGCGAACAGGTCGCCGCGCGCGGTGACCTAGTTTCGAGCGCGGCGGTGACTCCTGGCCGTCTCCCCTCAGAAACGATTACGACGCTTCAAAATAAAATGTTGAATATGGGTTCCCTATGGAAACTGAGGGAACGAATGACTCAACCACGTTGTGCAAAATCGTTTAGGGTTCAATAGCGTCTGCAGCCAGTGGGCGTTTTTCCATTTGTGCTTAACCAACAAGAAGTGTGCGAACTATGGTTCCCATCCAAAGTACGCTTCTTGACTGAACGTGCAGCTTTTGCATACTACGCTTCCTCGTGAATTCTATACTGTAGTTCGCTGCGGACGGTTGGGCGTGTCAGTGCGGCTGCGTTTGGCGCGGTGCCAAACTCGTTCTACACCAGTTGTTGAAGCGGGCAAGTGACAATACTGTATCATATGCTTCGTATTACTCGTTTTCTACCACTTTTTGTCGCATGCGCTCTTCAACAAGAAGGCAGAGAACGGCTTCTGATAGGGTGACACACTCATACTGGCTGACACGCCCAACCGTCCGCAGAGAACTAGAGTGTACCTAGGATTTCCACGCTATGTCCAAGGATATCGGCTAGTTGTCCTTCACACTTGACTGTTTTCTAGCTTGCGCTTTGTTTTTTTCTCTTGTTTTGGAAGAACATTATCTCTCTATATATTTTCACGAAGAATGCTGAGTTATGAACAAAAAGTCGTGCCCCAGCGGAGCCTGAACCCGCAGCCCAACGCCATCTTTCCACGGAGTGCGCTATCCGTTACGCCACCAGGGCCGCTTTTACCCTCTCAGCTTAACGGCTTTTATGCCGTAGCCTTCACGTTTAACTTGGTGAGCCGGTCAGCCGCAATCGTTAGATATCGGCATGGAACCGCATGGCCGAAGGTTTTACACAGTTTTTGAAGCTGTTTTGTTATGATAACTGCTGTTTAACGCCGCAGTACGCGTTCCGAATGTTATCACAAGAATGCTGAGTTATGGGCAAAAGTCGTGCCACAACTCAGGCCATTCTTGTGATTCATTCGGACGCTACTGCGGGCGTAAAGCAGTAGTTATCATAACAAAACCGATTTCGTCACATATACTTGTCCAAATGCAGCTCAGGCGATGCACTATCGATGTTGCAGCGTCGTTGACGATTGTAAGACTCAATCGGTCCATGGTAAAGTCTGCTATAAGGAAGTTGCCTCGTGGTTTGCCCCCAGAAAATCGGCATCTTTTGAAGGAGAAGTGTTTAAGGGGTGGATCGAGTAGGCTCGTGACCGAAGATTGGCACAAGACAGATGAACTGATCAGCCTTCGCCTACCACGGCGGGGCTCTTTCCTCAGCCCAGCGGTCACTACGATTCGAAGTCCGAATTTGCGGCTTGCCGTTTACTCACATCTTCAAGTATTTCCAGAGCTATGGTGCCAGCACCTGCCATCACATCAGGATGATCATGTCCATTGATGAATTTTCCTCCACTTTCCTGAGCAAGTTTGAAGGCAATTTTCATCGCCTCAATGTGATGCACACCCTAAACGTGTGGGGCCAAGCCTTCGCAACGGGCAAAATGCCGAATTTGACTTCACTACTCGAAGAGCAGAACAGGTTGGAGCGGCTCCATCTCTAAAACGCATAAAACGCACTAAGATTAAGAATTTGAAATCGAGAATCAAGTGTGCGGATGTGCGTTTCTCTTCGCCGCCGCTATCTCGCTTACAATTTGAGTATGGTAATTTTCACAGAGGATTGCAAAACATGCGCAGTTTGCACATATTTTCCAGCTTCTTTCGTCGCTGTAACCCGGCAACGTAGCTTAATTCGTTAGTATTGCTATGCCTCCTAAGGTTTTAGGTGGAATCTTTATTCAACGGCCTAACGTTTCGACAGGGGCCAGAACTGCACCGTGAATCCGCAGTCACATGCGGATGTTAGTCAGTAGCAAATCCTCAAGAGGCATAGCAATGCTAACGAATTTAACTGCGCACTTTTGTCAGGTCTGTGAGGTAATAGAGTTCCTAGTTCACAGGTCTGAATAGCGCACATTCTAAACTCTAAAAACAGTCTCTAATGGAATTTATCCCTTACTCTTCAGTCGCTGTTTAAAGAGCGTGCGCAATGGAAACTAATCTGTCTTTCTAACTCTCCCAAACACCCCCCCCCCTCAAAGTTTATACTGGATATCTGTTCTCCTAGTGACTATTGTTGACAAACCGCTGACACTACTGACAAGGCATAATAATCCACAGAGAATCCTGTTCCCCTATAGAGCGCCCGAGTTCCAGAGAATTCAGGTCTTATGCATGTCCCAGCCACTCGTGTCCATCGTAGAAGCACTCAGTTGTACGCTCCAACATCGTGAGCTTTCTTTTCTTCAGTTATAGTTAGAGCTTCGGCAACCATTCCTTCTGGAGGCCATTCCACACGGAAACCCACCGTCTTTTAGGGCACCAAGAACCAGGGCGCAGCAAGCGAAGGGTAGAATAGCGACCAAATCCGGCTACCCTGATGGTTTTGCTCAATGGTGCTGCACCCTGTAACGAACGCCCTGCGAGCACACACGTGCTCTTTTATCTCCCATTCGCCGCAGAAGTTGCACGAGTAGAGTCGAAGTGAACATTTCGTTGCCGACCTCTGTGATCTGGCCAGATGCCCCAGATTAGAAGTTATGCGTACGATGACGTGCCAGGTAAACACAAGGGTCCGTGCAGGTGATTAGTACAAGAAAGCTCAATGATTCCAGAAAGAACAGAAAGGGAATAACGGAAAAAACCATGATCAAAAAAAGAAGAAAAAAATCAATGAAGGAAAGCAGAATAAAAATACACAAAAGGAAACCACGAAGATGAACCGCCATGCGTGACTAGAAATATTTAGGCCTAGGAAATCAAAGTAGGAGGAATGCCGTGAAAGGTTGAGGAGACCCAGACAGGAGGGCTTCCAGCGCCTTATAATATGGAAATTCTTTGGTTTGAAGTGGCATGTGAAGCTTAGAAAGAAGGAACAACACAACAAGCGGCTATCCTAGGGCCGTTTCTGAGGTGAAAGCACGACTTGGATTACGCCATTTTCCAAAAGCGACGTAGGAAGGCTGTCTAATGATAATTTTAACTTGCCGAGTTCGTGAGTGCACGAATCAACGCACTACCTCCGTAGGTATCACAGACCTTGAGATTCATAGTTGTTTTTTTTCAAATGGTCTGGCGCACTTACCTCAAACACAAACCTCGCGCTCCCTAATCTTCACAGGCCAGCAATCGTTTTTAGTGTACCGTAACGTGGAAGAACAACGGTTACAGGAATACCGAGGTCTTGACCGTGGAACGCAATGGCACGTGCAAAATTTCCCGCAGAGCCAGCAAAAACCTAAACATTGCAAGTAAGTTTTGCGCAGAGTAAATCTTGACAACGTGGTTTGAACGTACTCCGCTTTTACGTTCTTTCTCTGATAGACGTGACAAAACGTTGCGTGCACTACGCCCTTTGAAGCTGCCAGTGTCCTGAAACGTCAGATCAGCTCGTCCAAGTTGAACGCCTCTGAAGTAGAGAACTTATCATACCCTAAACGGCAACGGTTGGCAATTACTAGCTACCCTGCTCATGTCCCCATACTCTCTACTCCCGGTCGCTGGGTGCACACATATGCACGCTGGATCGAATCTATACTTCCTAGCTCACGAGACCCTGCTGGTCGCTGGTGGACGCTAGCAGATGCTAGATCGATATCTACTATATTTCCTAGTCGCTGCTGCTGTCAGACGCTCGGAACGCTAGTGGCCGCAAAGTGTGAACGCAGCTGAGGGGCTCGCCCTTGAACTTCGTCCGCTTTTCCTCCCAGCACAAGCCTTCTCATCTCATCATCTCCAGTGCACCTTCGCTTCGCTTTCCTTCGCGTTCCCCCTCGATTTTCGAGCTTTCAATGTAGTACAGCCTCTGCGACTGCGGACCTCTTCAAGTTGCATAATTGAGAAATTCTAGCCTCAGATCATCGTGGACCGTTCCTTTGATAGCTAGAAATAAGGAGCAGACACGTATGTAGAGAACTGTTTACCTGAGTATTTTCCATTTTGAGAAACACGTCACATCCAGCAGCATTCGAAAGGAATCGCGAATGAACACACTCAGTGCGGCAAATACCATCCTGTATGTTTAGTATCAATATCTGTATTTCGCTTTTTTGTTTTTCTGAACCCCCCTTTTCCCAAAAACAGAAAGCCATGTATCGTGGCGTTCAGAGATATTAACAACGATGAAGAACTACGGTAGCGAGAAAAAACTTGGAACAATGCGACGTATGCGTTTTGATCAGCTGCCTCTAGTCCTCAATTGAAAAAATTGCGTCTTAACTCCTTTATGTTGCTCCGTTCACGAAGTGCTAGATGAGTCGTTCGAAAACCAAAATTGCTCCCAACTAATGGGGTGGATCTAGCTTCGGTGAGTCAGCAGAAACCCGATTCGAGAGATTTAGCCCCAGACCAGGCATGTGATTAGTTTCACCGCTCGCCACTATAATACCTCCGTTCTACCAACGTAGCAATGTTATTGTGCTACTACATGACATTCTCAGATACTATTCACAGTAATGGAGGTTTGTAGGTGGTGGATACCGGCTGCTGGAGGAGGGCTGTTGTTGCCAGCGTCATTGGGGAAAGGGCATTTGGCCACATCTCACATACAGTCGTCATCCTTGCACTTGATAGTCAATGTCAGTGCGGCTGCGTGCGGCGCGGTCGCCCGCACCCGTACTGCACCAATCGTTGAACCAGGAAGTGACATTACTGTATTATATCCTTCGTGTTACTCGTTTTCTATCACTTTTTGTCGCATACGCGTTTCAACGAAAAGGCTGAGAAGGCTTCAAACAGTGTGCACGCTCCTTCTCGCCGACACGCCCTATCAAGTGCAAGGATGACGACTGTACATATTAGCGATTCTTACGACAGTTGACGCTGGCGACAACCGCCCGCTCCCACCAGTCGTGCTCACTGTTTTTCCAGGGGACTAGATAAGTTAACATTGTTGGAAATGACATTTCTTTGCTTGTTCCATATTTTTTTTGGTACTGTATATAACATGAAGGCTACTTATGAATGAACTCACCTTGATATTTTTCTCGAGCTTTATCCAAGGGATGTTACGATGAATCTGTCAATCTTTAGCAGCGATTTCGGATTGAACGGATCGCAGCATGGATCAACTTCTTTCTAAACAGATACAACAGTATATCACCGTAGCCAGAAAATGGTTTTCTGAGGCCGATTCTTACCGGATCGGGAACATTTGACGCGAGGCGAAGCAGGGTAAGCCACACTAAAAGTACAAGTGCATATTCTGTATTTGTATTATCGCTATTTACGGAGATACTGCAACTTCTTTTTTCAGGCCATTCTTCCAGAAAGAGGCAAATTTACCCTATGACCGAGATTGCCATGACAGTTCAAAGTTAGGCGAGCAAGGAATTTGAAAGTTTTATGTAATTCTGTGGCGGGAAACGCGAATCAGCGCGACGCCAGCACAATTTGTGTGATCACGCAAAGTCGCTTTCAAAATCCTATCGGGGTATACCGGCGATATTGGCCCTTGCCATCTTAATCTATATTATTCAACTGTGTTTACAATGGTAAGGGCCTTGTTTAGACAAAGTTTCTGCTATTGAGAGAAGCAGTTTTTTTTGAATTTTGTGAGAATGCCTCTCTCGAGTCTAGAAAACATTTTCGAACGTTAATATGATTGCACTTCACGAATCCACTCGGCAACCTAAGTAATCCCACAGGTTTGGGCGCCCGCGTCTTTTAAGAAATCATTAGCGTCCAGGTGCCTCTAGCAAGCGCCGCAAGCGCTTCCGCGTGTCATGCTCGTATTCAGGGAGTAAAACTACTCGTAGGAATAGACTCCTAACCAGATGTTAGGTTTTGACCCAACTGAAAGGTGAGGTGGTACTGATTTAACAGTACCGGGCAGTGATTCCAGGCTCATTCTGTCAACGATTGCTTGTCTTCAAACGGATTTGTTTGTAGACATCACGAAAACTGGAGCAGTAATAGAATGAGAACGTCAGAAATGACAAGATGATACTTTGTACAGGAGAATATATCTGAAGCAGAATAGGTGTGAATGAAGTGCACTGCACCCCATGGTTGCTTCACTTTTCGAAGTCAGGCGAAATGCCATATTCTGGCTAGCAACTTGTGCCTAGGCATAGTTTGACCCACTGTACACGAATATAGCACACGATTAGCGCGAAAATGCATCATGAGAACCCGAATCGGAACCTTCTTCAAAATCACAGCGCTTAAAGGCAGTTGGCACGATGGTTTCCCACTCGGCCTAAAATGCTAGTAGGGCGCTATATAGTGGGGAAATGGCGAAAGAACGGAGTGAAACGGTCAAAATCCGGCGAAGAAAAAGCCTCCGTTCTCAGTGACTTGAAAATCGATTTCGGACGAGTTTCCCGTAGGCATCTTGCCAATCACCGCTACCGAAGATACGGCTGCATATGTGTACCCATATATGCATGCAGCATCACGGCCGCT